ACCTTTATCATTAAATTTGTGTATGTACTCTTTATCTCCTTACTCATAAAATGATACTTTCTACTAAAAAAAAAAATCTACTGCCAGAGCATCATTCAGTGTTTTATAAGACAGGAAGGAGGACTGGGGATTTAGCTTAGTGGTTCAGCTGCCTGCCTCAGCAAGCATAAGGACCAGAGTTCAATCCCTGGTACCAAAAAAAAAAACAAAAAAAAAAACACCCCAAAACAACACCAGGAAGGGGTAAAACCCCTGGGTAAAGTAGAGGACTTTTAGATTTGGCTTGTTTGCTTACTTTTCTTTACCTCTTCCTCTTCTGTTTCTTTTCCCCCCTCCCAATAAATTCTCAACAGGTTGTAAAGGAAACTTAGTGAGGTGAGCTATGTATATAGTGTTTGAAGTGTGATAGAAAGTACAGAGGCTGACTTTCTCCAGCCTTGTCAGGACACACAGCCGTGCTTTGAGTGTGTAGAACAGAACACATGTCAGGTTTACTAATCGTTCACATTGACATGTAGAAATTGGTTATATTGTAGGACAGTGTTTTCTTTTGCTTTGCTTTTTCTTTGAAATGAAGGTTTTTTCATTTGGACTATGGCTTAATTGAATGTTTCTAGTCAGCCTTTAAAGCAATACATAGGTTTAGGGTTTCTCGTGAACATTTTGCCTGGAAGGTAAGGGATGAAAGATTTTCCATTTGTACAAGTCAGTGATGAATTAACCCATCTTACTACTTTTTCTTCTGAGTCTTGTTACAGGTTAGGTAGTTATGGTATACCTTAAATGCCATTGTCTGTCTTTGGACTGTCTTAAAATTTTTCAACTTGAATTAACATACATGCCAAAGTATAGGCATGTATTTTTTTACAAGGAATGTTTAAACATAAAGGTCAGTCTTTTATTGAAGAGAATGAGTATGGTAGCAATCCCCTTTTCTTTTATGGAAATAGTGTGGAATATCAATTTATAATTTATAATATAGAGCTAAGGATGACCTGGAAGCCACTCCTTTGGGGCATGTACTGTAGGGAAGAAAGTAGTAGCATGGACTCTCTCCACTTTTAAAATATTACTATGATCTTAAATTTTTAAAAATAAGTCATAAAAAATTACTATGATCTTAAAATTACTTCTTTTTTTTTTTTTTTAGAAATTGAGATGAAATTTATGTAATAAGCTGGGCGCACACCTGTAATACCAGCACTTAGGAGGTTGAGGTAGGAGTTCAAGGCCGCCTGGAATTACAAAACAAGACCCTGTCTCAAAAAACCAGGGCCAGGAATTTAGCTCAGTGGTGCTGCCAGCTGCCTCACAAGAACAAGGTCCTGAGTTCAATCCCCACTACCCAAAAAAAAGAAAAGAAAAGAAATTTATATAAACTAAAACTAACCTTTTTTTTCAGGACCTTGCCCTTTCCAGGCAAGTGCAGCGCCACTGAGCTACATCCCCATCCCAAATAAACCATTTTAGAATAAGTGCTTTATTGGCTTTGAGGGCCCACTGCTTTTTTTTTTTTAAGAATATATAGTATTCTTTTTTTTCACTTATTTTGATTAGTGCACGTTTGCAGTATGTGTTGGTCACACCCTCTTCTCCCTTTCCTCCTTCGCCCTCCCTCCCTCTCTGGATCCCCTCCCATTAAAAGGTATCCAGCTCCCTGCTTCCTGTGTCCATCTTTTATTTCGCCCTTTCTGAGTGTTTAAGCTTGTGAGTCTGCTTTGCTTGCTTCACATGACAGTCCGGGGCCCATCCATTTCCTACAGACGCCTCAGCATGACCTCCTTTATGGCAGGGTGGCGCTCCATTGTGTGTAAATGCTACTTCCTTTGTCCATTTCTCTGCCAGGGGGACTTAGAGGCTGCTTCCAAGAGTTAGTTATTATGCATTGTGCGGCCACTGCTTCTCACTTGATTCCAAAACACTTTCCTCACCTCAAAACAAAACTGCGGGCTTGTTACACTGCGCATTTTCCACCTCCTGCTATCCCAGCAACCATCGAACCGCCTCCTGGTCATGTGAATTTACCTCTTCTGCATCCTCCATGTAAACTGGATCAGGCTTTTGTTTTGTGCCTGGACTCTCATGTAGCGTGGTGTTTTCAAGGTCCATTCATGTTGCACGTGTGTCATTCACTCCTTCTTATGGCCAAGCACTCTTTCGTGTGCGCATGCCAGGTTTGTGTTTTTCTCTGGCACTGGGGATAAAAACCAGGGCCTTCACACTGACCTGCATCCCCAGCTGTTTTGTTTTGTCTTCAGGCTGGCCTCAACCTCACTGCGATCAGTCCTCATTCCTCAGCTTGTAAGTGCTGGGTGCCACCTTGCCCAGTTTTTGTTTTTTTTGAGAAAGGGTTTTGCTGACTCGCCAAAGTACACCGGCTAGATTAGAATTTGCGATCTTCCTGCCTCCGCTTTCCGGATTTCTGGGATCACAAGCATGCGCCCCATACCCAATCTGTATGCACATTTATTCCTTCATTCATCCATCCACTGGGGGAATGTTTGGATTCTTTCTACCTTTTGGCTTTTGTGAGTAGTGCTGCTGTGTGTATTTGTGTGCAAGTATTTGAGTACTTATTTTCAGTTCTGTGTATGTACCTAGGAGTTTAATTACTAAATTAATGGTGATTTATTTTTTTTTTTTTATTTTTTATTTTTTTGCAGTACTGGAAAGTGAACTCAGGACTTTCACACTGAGCTGCATCCCTAGCTCCATTTTTGATTTTTGAGTTTTGAGACAGGGTCTTGCTGAGTTGCCCAGGATGGGCTTGAATTTACAGGCCTCCTGCCTCAGCCTCCTCTAGTGCTGGGATCACAGGCGTGTGTCACCACCAGGCTTTTCCATAGCAGCTGAATCATTTTCCTTTCCCCCCTAGCAGCGTCAGCCTGTGATTTCCACACATCCAGCCGGTACTCGCCACGCATCTTGTGTTTGCAGGTTTGCTTTCTTGTGTGACCACGGCTGTGCTAGTGGGCACGGCGTAGGTCTCCTTGTGGCTGTACCCTGCGTTCCTAGTGACTGATGGTGCCACCCTCTTCACGTGTTCTTCAGCCACATGTGTGTCTTTGGAGAAAAGGTTGTTTTGTTGAACTGTAAGAGTTCTTTACATACTTTAGATGCCAGAGCTTTGTTAGCTATGTGATTTGCACATACTTTCTCCCATTCTGTAGGTCAGCTTTTCACATTCTTCCTAATCTCTTTTGATGAAGTCCAGTTTATTTTATTTTGTTGATGGCACCATGCTTTTGGTGTCATATATATATGAGTTTTGGTATATCTCTCCAAGTCCACAATTGTGAAGAGTCACACCTGTTTTCTTCTGTTTTTAGTTTTACCCCTTACATTTAATTCGGGTCTTTCGGGAAGAGGGAGCATTACTGGGAAGTGAACCCAGGGCCTGGTTTGTTCCATTTTGAGTTAACTTTGTGTTAACTTTTGTCTGTGGTAGGAATCCAATGGGGACTGGT